GAGAAGTGGTTGAGCTTTGGGTGCGTCCAGACGGATTTGGTGAATTGGAACAGAGCTGTTCATGGTGTTTTTTGAGATTGTGGGTCCTGCTCTTTTTGATGTTTTACTTACTATGGCAAGGGAGTCCGTACCTAGATCATTACTTGAACGTTGATTGTATTTTCCATTTGATTGCCCAAGCCGTCAGCCGATTCTGGAGGTGAGTAACTTGCATCGTCTTCCTGTATTATTAATCACAGAGATAATATCTCCACCACCCTCCCACCATTCCTCTTCGCCGTCTAGGAAATCGTTCGCCTCGTTCTCTTAACGCTACTTGCTTTGAAATTGCAATATCTGTGACTCACATTGAATAAGAGGTCATGGTCTTCCCTAGTCCTGGCTGTCACACCTGCAGACGACGCCGTGTCAAGGTACTGTCTCTCAGATCCCTATACACTGTCGAGTTCGAGCTAAGACAACCCCATTAGTGCGACACAGTTCGGCCCTTCTGCGAACGATGCAGGAAAGGCAATCACTCCTGCACTTGGGACGTCAATGAAGAAGAAACATTGCCTTTCAGAAGCGAAAATGCTTTTGCCCAAGGCCGGCCTCGACGCCCACGGAAAGCCCGAGAGACTTGTGCGATCGTCTCATTGACATCCACGCCGCTCTCAGGCCCGCCTTCCGTCTTGCCTGCCCTTTCATTCCCCTTGGAGCTCCATTCCATGAATTACTGGGTGGAGAATTTCGTGTTTGGATTCAACGACATTCCGGAAATTGGACACGAGTACACTTCCTGTGTTCTCCCTTGTCGGGATCGTGCACATCCGGGCTCAGCTCTACGTCTGGCCCTGTCAGCTCTTGCACATGCCGTATTCGGGCGTACGAGGCGTGTGGACAAGGCTCTCAAGGACACAAACATGCTCTATTCCCAAGCAATCACGAGGATGGAGGCAGAAGTCAAGGGTGTGGCAGCTGAGGACACGGACGAGCTGCTAATCACGATGATATTGATGGGTAGCTTCCAAGTACGTATGCTCCGAATCAAGTCATTGCTGTTTTCTTCCAATTCAAATTCGCTGACTGCTCAAGAATGTCATGTGGGGACTCAATCCACATAACCCTCGAAACTCTTCCTCCAGTTCCGACGAGGTCGGTTCTCGGCTCTGGGAGAATGTCTGTCATCACAAGGGAGCCTCAGACATGTTGGGGCTACGGCAGCCAAGGTCAAGATCTCCGAATATATCTCTCTTGATCGAGTGATTCGGCGCCAGTTGGTCAGTCAAGCCTTTCAGGAAAACATCGAGAGCCCAATAGGCCCCAATGCCCATACACATTCCTAACCAGATTTTCCAGATCCGAATAATCATACTACGAGGCAGAACGATCCCATACTGGCTCGAAGACCCGGAGTATGAAGAAGAAGGTCCTATGCGGGAACTTGATTCACTCATGCTCCGACTAGCGAATCTCTGAAACAGGCAATTCGACGTCGGAACCTCGACACCAGTACTTTCCATTTCCATTCTTGCCTGACCAGCACAGTCCATGCATTCTGCTTGTCGTGGCATATCGGGGAAAGTACGCCGCGAGTGCCAGGTGAGTGCGGTCCCATCACATTTGGGGCGTTGTCGCCTCTGCTCACAGCTTCTCACCTGGGCATTGTGTGTCCTTCTTCCGGCTTCTCAGGGTGGGCCTGGTACACGGCCTCTTAACATTTAACATTAACAGTGTGCATACTCCTTCTTTACCGGCCTACATGTTGCTTTACTCAAGTAAACTTTGAGTCGCTACCCATAGCGCACCTCACATGACATCCTGTTCCCCGTCGGGCAGCGCTCTTGGCTTTCGATGCACCATGTGACCCAGGTCCAATCACGGTGTGATTAGGTAATCACAACGGAGCTGGAGCTGACTGCCGCAACGTCAGATGCACACGTCAAACGCAATCTGTTACGCCGCCGTCGAGCCATTATTCAATGGCAATCAACTTTAAGAATATTACTTTACGGTAGCAAGGACAGCCACCGTGCTCTAAGCCGCACTGGTCTCCGCTTAGGTCTGTCAGGTTCCGGGAATGTCCCCCTCTCTCACTACTCAGGATGGCGGACGCCGCAGCCTCGCTAATCGCCATTGCAACGTTCGGCGTCAAGTTGACCACAACTTTGTACGAGTTCGGCGCAAATGCAGCATCTGCAAGAGAACAGACCGACCGTATTGCGCGACATCTTCGACTATATTCAGAGGTTCTTGAAGTTTTGGTTGACCGCATTGATGACAGTGAGCCAATCCATTCCGCCAAAGCACTCAACCTGGTCGACGAAGTCTATGATCAGTCGTATGATCTTTTCGATAAAATCAGAGACTTAATACCCAATAAGGGGGACCGGATGACATTTTTGCGAAAGCTCGCGTGGAATTTCAAGAAATCCCGGGTTGCATTGGTGGTGTCCGAGATCGAATACCTCAAAAGCACTGTGACCCTCCTCGTGACGGTTCTCTTTGCAGGAAAGAAGATCCGGTCCTCTAGACGCAAGAAAGGATCAAAAAAGGATTCAGAGAAGGATGGTGAGGAAGTGAAGTTGCAGTGTGCGAAAGTGAAAAATGCTATCGTAGAGCAGATCAATGCTTCTACCCAAAAGCAAAACATGCAGGTCAAGGTCGAGGAGGAAGAACAAAATGAACCGGTGACGGAGCATGAAAACAGAGAGCGAACCCTGACGAAGCCAGGAACCGGAGTCCTCCAGAACAGCATGGAAATAGTGAACTTCAGAGAATCACTCGGGCAGACAGAGGATGAAGGCGAGGAGAGAGCTCTGGTCCTTAGCCGGTCTTTCGATCTAATCGCAAAGTTGCTCGATCAATGGACCACTCTAGCGGAAGATGTAACAAGCTCATCTGTCAGGCAGGGGAACGGCCAAACTGGCAATTTAGGTACATCGGAAAACCCACAACACGACCAGACTCCGGCGAACTTAGCTCCTAAGGCTGATTACCAGCAAGGAGAAGATGCGGACAGCAACACCTCCGTCAAGCCACAAGGAGGGTCATTCAGAGAAGAAAAGCACAGGGAAATGTTAACAAAGGCCTACCTCAACGCGCGGAACAGAGCAGAGCGAGCAGAAGAAGAACTAGCAAGGCTTAAGGCCTCTTTCCAGCCTCTTGAGGAGATTCCAACGGAAGAATTGAGCCATTCTAGCACCAAGGACTACTTGGCTGACACATCGTCATCAGAGAGCGACAAAAACGTTTTAATATGTGACTCTGATCAGAGCGACATTAGAGAAAGTCTAAGAAATGATTCTAAAAAAACAGAATTCTATCGGGGGGCAGAAAGGAGATCCGAAACGCTCTGGTATTCTGATGAATTGGAGAGACTACGGGATGATGAGTGGCACTCCAGCGATGATTCTAACCAACGGAAATGGGAACGCTTCAAAAAACGAAAGCAACAGGACATAGCCGTCAGGATGAAGGAGCGTGACGGCGAAATCAACAAGATATTGAGACCGAAGCGGGTTGGAACCTCTGAAGTACAAATCACGGCACGGAATCAGAGAGATACTACTGGGTCGCAACCACGAAGAACCACTTATGTTGAGCCACGACTCCATGACGACTCAGACAAGTACCAACCGAGCCCTCCTCCCAGATCCAGAGGTGCAAGTTCACCTCCCTTGATGTTCCCGGTCTCTTCACACATTCCTCGGACGAGAGCAGACGCTGACATGCAAGAGGAATACACCTACCCAAGATCGACACGACATGCTGAAGAGCAAACAGCAACTGTGAGCAGAGCGAGACCTTCCCCTGGCGATCGTGTGAAAGTTGAGGGGAGCGAAACTCGGCATGCAGAGTCGCCGAGTGGACGAAGAAATACTCCTCTTAGGAGGCCCTCAATGCCCTCTGCCGAGGAATATGACCCACGGTATCAACGGTATACACGGCAACCGCCAAATCACTTGTGATACTTTGAAGCGCAACCTCCGTGTTGTAGCTTACTAGTCCGACGAGTGAATGAGACCTCAGAGGCACTGCAACGCATGAAGTATTGCTTTGCCTTGTAAACGTGGTGTTACATAACGGTTTGGATGGCCTTGTCGAGATACATGACATTACGGCTCCAGAGAAGAGGTTCACGCTGATCCACAGCACGAATAATCTCCCATCCCGGACCATGGGACCCGGATATGTTCGATAGCTCTGCTGGAAGTCATCGAGTGACGTTGGTTGAACACTGGTCCTGCAGTGAAGCTGGCGGGCGGTGACGGATTACGAGGCAAGGACATTCAATGGGACGTCTCTGAAAGGCCAGGCGAAGGCTTCTTACTCTGCGGCGTTTTGCACAGTAAAAAGGTAACGACTCGTAATAGCACTCTGTTCCATACCAAGTTGATCTCAGGGCATGATGCCTGATCCAACGTATGTCAATGCTCGACCCCAAGCATTGTACGGAGTGTTCTGACTTCATGCAGCTCCCAGCGGTAGCTGCGGCTGGAGAAGAGTTCGAGTGTATGCTAACTTGAAATGGTGACTCGAGGTGAACATGGAGGTATTCACGTGCCTGGTGGGTTGTCGCTCATGCCAAGTTGGATGGGCCATGGCTTGGGTCCTCGCGCGAGAGTAGGGCAAAGATCTCGGACTTCTATGATGCTACTGGCCTTTGGTAAGGTCGACACCGTGCGATCATAAGGCTTGTACTTTGGAAAGCCTGGCCCATTGCGAAGGTCTAGCACTCTCCAATAGCTTCTTTGACTTCCCAACGACGGCTAGACGATTTCAAAGTCGCGGCGAAGAATCATCTCATAGATACTTATCTACGTCTATCTGACATTAGTAGCCGACTATGAGCGCCTAGAGGCCTCTTCGTCGTTAAGCCATCAAGGAAGAGAAAGAACTTCCAAAAAGAAAATTGCGTATGGGTCCACTAGCCGAAAATGGGTCTACTAGCCAGGACAATTTATCGGTCCCTCAGGCTCAAAAAAGCTCCTACGGACTTCTAAGGGCTCAAAAAAGAATGCATTGTCCGTGAATCGAACACGGGGCCCGTCGATACGATGCTCTCGAGCTGAATTGAATCGGAATGAGAGAAATGGCAACGACGGATTTTACCACTAAACCAACAATGCAGAATTGGAGGAAATCCAGTATGTGTGGTGATTGTTGAGGAGAAATGCGCTATTATAATACATGACGTGCTGAATTTTCTCGCTATGAAGAGCAAGGTAGCCGTGGCAGCGGTCTACTCCGGCCGTGTCCGGCAAAACGAGTCCACTACCAGACTGAGTCAGCAGCACAACTCTCTGTGTCAAAGTCATGAATTGGACGGATAGAAGCCATCTCATCGAGAAGACGACGAAATTGTGTGGTCTTGGTCTATTTACTATTCACCTGTGGACATGTGGATGTCTGCTCTATCCAAGCATTGCTCGACATAGCCAGTCCATCACCACTAGCACGTACACTACTACTAACCTACATCGCAGGGCGACATCTACGCTTCCAGACCCGAAAAGCAAGAATGAAGAATGGAGATTTTCTTCCCAGTCGGACTCATGATCGTCCGAGCACTGCCTTCATTACTTGTCTCAGCTTCGATTCACAATCATCCACCAAATCCATCGACCGCCATGCGACAAAGCGATCAGGTCGTACAAGGACACAACCATCTTCTTCAACCTCTCGTCTTCGTTCCCTATCAGATTCAGTCAGCCATAGTGCAATGTTGTTCATGCGTCTCACTTACCAATCGCGATAAACGTCCACCCATTCCTGACCCCAGCCAATGCTGTGAGCATTGATCTCAACACCAAGCTCGGCACCGACTTTCGCTGCAGCTTCGATCCACTTCTCACCACCAATGCTGGTAAGCAGACAGAATTGACCATGACCGGCAAGGTCGATCGTCGATGTATGCTCCTTCTCGGGCATGGTCTTGTTCAACCATGCATGAGGCAGTCGATGGCCTGGGTAGGTGCTGACTTTGTGATGCAGAATCGAATCTTCAGGCCATTCAGGCTGTTGCCGACCTGCCTTGACTTCATCCTCTGTATATACAGCAGCAGACTCGTACCGGTGATTCATCTCAACACCAATGCCATGGAACTCATGGCTGGTTCCTTCAATAGCGGCATTGACTCGTCTCCGTCGCTCGCGAGCTTCAGGTGTCGCGGATTTTAAGCTGTTGAAAATCTCCATCCTCTGCTCAACAGTCTCTTCCATCAAGCCCATTTCCTTCCAAACCGGTACATGATCTCGAATGCCTTGGTTGGCGCGAGTGATGACACCCACGCCGACGGGCTGTCGCTCTTGGCTGAAAGTCTCCAGGATCGTCGGAGATGCTAGACCTTGCGAGACGTACTTGATTTTCCAAGCGAGGTTGAAAGCGTCCTGAACGCAGGTATTGGAGCCCAGCCCGTTGAAAGGAGGATGTCGGTGCACAGCATCGCCCAAGCAGAAGATATTGCCATCAGAATAATACTCGGCCACGATCTCGTTGATGTACCACTTCGAGACGTTGATGATTTCAAGTGGAAGGTCGTCTCTGCCGACAATTTCTTTGCATCTCTGCGCGTACTCCTCCATGCTTGGCTCTCTGAACTCGGCTCCAGGCTTCGGGAAGAGAATGAACATCCATCTGAGTAACGGTCAGCAATAGCCGGTGACAATGTGTGAGATACTTACTCATTCCATGGCTTGACCATTCTGATCAGTCCACTCCACGCGAAGTCGGAGTACTCTCGTTCGGGCTGGAAGACCCAGTGCAGGTTCCCCTTTCTGGCCTCAACATAGTCGCTCAAATCCACCTTGACCAACACATTCAATGCCAATCCTTGGCCAGGCTTCTTGATTAAAGGGATCTTGAGTTCTCTGAGGACCTGGCTCCTTGCACCATCACAACCAAACAAATAATCCGATCTGACCAGAAATTCCGTCTTGGTCAATTCATCTCGAATTCTGCTCAGGATTTTGCCGCTCTCTTCCTTTTCGAAATTTACAAAACTGGTCTTGAATCTCACATCCCATCCTTGGGCTGCCGCGCGTTGAACAACAATTGGCTCGAAGATTGTCTGGGGTAGATCCACGTGGTGACAAGGTGTTGCACTTTCGTATTCTCCCATCCGCTTGGGGTCATTGCCCCAAGAATAAATCCGACCATACTCTTCTCCAGTCATATCATGGCACCATCGGGTATGGACCATACAGTCTCCTTGCACCGCCTGGCTGAGACATGTCTCTTCTAGATCGATGTCCCTCAAACACTCAAAAGCAGCAGGGTTTGTGATATGAGCTCTCGGGGTCTGTGATGTGGACGGTGCTGCCGAGATAAGCATGCCCGTCATAGAGTATGGAGGATGTGAAAGAAAGCATGCTAATGAAGCGCCAGCCGGACCGGCACCCACTATCAGAAGAGGTGTCTCGATGACTTCTGGCCTTGTTTCTGGCATGCCGTTGGCCATGGTCGAGTGTGGCATGGCGACAAGAATGAATACAAACGATCAAAGAATTCTGGGAAGACGTGAACAATCCCCTTTTGATAGCAGAATGGAGCTTGAATTGTGCATGTCAATAAATTTCGGTTTAAGGATATATACATGGGGCATGGACGAGCTTGGGCTCGGAAATACCCCCTTTCCCCAGACCAAGTGATCTCGACGGGTGTGTGCATTTTGACTGTCCCAGGCTAGTGAAGGGCGGGTCTTGCCCAATCATCCCGGTCTACTCGTGTAAGATCTGGGGCTGTATCCGGTGAAGTCAATGGCCTGGAGCAGCTATCGTGGAGATTTCGATAGAGACTGTGACACGACCAGTTGACTGTCGGATGCCGCCCACAGTGGCCTCAACTCTGTCGAACTGGACTTCGGAAAATGCTGCTTTGATCCACTATTGACTCCTGTCTAGTTCGTGCTCGAGATTTATCATTGAGGAAGTCCTTGCTTGACAAGAATGAGCTAAGCAGGAGTGAGCTGGACTGTGGAAGATGCACATTGAAGCATCTGGTGTTGGTGTTGGTGTCATTTGAAAACACGAGGATTGAATGAATGACATCATCTGCTTCGTCGGCGAGACTCGAGACTCGAGACTGCCTGCACCTTCACCACCTTCACCACCACCACATCATTGTATAGTCTTCGACGAGAACAGTCATCACTGAAGCAGACCCGTCTGTAGCTTACCTCAACCATCTTTCCATTACACCGCTTCCCCATCTTCCTGCTTACCATAGCCGATCCATCATGCTACTCCGAACGGCCATCCGACCGTCTACCTTTCGCTCAATAGCCAAATCAATACCTGCCACTCCAGTACGGTCAGCATTCAATCGTCCTGTGGCCATAGCATTCGGACTCTCCCTTGGTGCCACACCCTTCCTGCACCCTCGAACCACAGCCCGACTAGACACGTCGCCTTCCTCCCCTCAAGCTGCGGAGTTCAGTACCACTCCTTACACACATTCGCGCGATGCCAGAACGCCCTTGACAAAAGATGGGAGGTCTCTTAACCCAGCTGCCGTCAAACAAATCAGCTTAGGGGCGATATTGGGTCTAGGAGCAGGAGTGCTGCTGTCAGCTTTCTCTCGAATGTTAACACTGATTATCGGCCTGGGAATTGTGATCTGGCAGGTTAGTACAAATGACGATGACATTGAATTGGGAATTGCATGACATTGGAACAACGGCTAACACGACTGTGAGGAATAGTATGCTGCTCGCAAAGGCTACAACTTCATCCCTGTTGACCGCATGCAGCGGCATATGAAGAACATCAACCTGCGCAGTGCCATTAACGACAACGTAGCATTCAAGATCAGTTTCGGTCTAATGTTTGCTTTGACTGCTTTTGGAGAGTTTTGAATGACATGATGCACACCCAACTGGCCCAGATACATGACGATAGCTTCCTCAACTTGAAAAAGAAAACAATAATCCCGGGCAACGCTTCAGGCATGTCTTATAGACATCGACCTGGACAGCACTATTGATTAGTATCCGCAGAGACTGCAGAAGACGGATTTTAATGGACATGGCGTTCTCATCCACAAGACTTATAACACCAGCCCATGCATCAATGATCTGATGGCCGGGGCCTTGTCACGATGATAGCTACGAGTCTTGAAACTTGACTTGAGGTTTGTCGCGTCGGTGCTGAGTGGTACAGCAACCAGATTGCCCACCCCGAGAAACTGTCAGCCTCGTTTGGCTCCTTGAAGCTGCAACTGCTCAAGCACATATCATCAAACCCCGGGGTTCGAGTCTGAAAAGCGATGAATTTCTTGCACCATGTATCCCTCTTCACTTTTCCCTTTCTGTGACAGTCAAGCGTGCGAGTTACCTATGAGCTTGTCTTGCTCCTCGTCCCCACTGCCCTCCGGAGCCTCACTCACGCTGCTCCTGTTCCTGCTCCTGCGTCCGTGACCGTCCTCTTCATACTCTTCGGGCCCTCGTACCACCCCATCAATGTCAACCTCGACACCAACATGAACATGTCCTGCAGGCAACAGATTCAACCTGTCCTCCTCCTCGTCCAAATGCCCATGCACTCTCCCAAAGGCCCAACCCGCCACAGCCGCAATGACCCCCATGATCGCATAATTCCAGACCAACAACGGATCCGTCGCCAACCAGATCAACGCTTCACCAATCGCGTTGGCCAGCGCCGTCATGCACAAGCTGAAGGCCTGCACCATACTCCTCATGTTCCGGGGCGCCTTGGTGAAGGCGTATTCCAGAGCCGTCACGCTCGCCAGGATCTCGCTGATGGCTATGAGGATGTAGATCGGCGCTTGCCACCAGATGCTCACGTCTGCGGGACGGCAGTCGGTATTCGCTGATCCATCAGATCCGTCTGACGAGGACCCGCGGTGACCCTCGTTCGGATACCGGCCGCACTCGTTATGCGCGTAGATGTAACTCTGCAGCACGGCTGCGTAGAACATCGCGGCCGCGCCGAACCAGAAGCCCAGCGTGATCTTGCGGATGGGCGTTAATAAGAACTTGCCGCCGCTGCCGCCGCCCGCACGGCGCAGGGCCGGGTAGACGACCAGATCGCACAGGGGGATCAAAATGATCAGTGCAAGCGGGTCGAGATTGCTCACGATCTCGGGTGGGAGGCCCGTGTGGCGCATCGT